ACCCTTGCCTGGCCTCGGCGAGTCCCCCACCCCGCGCGCCGCCGCCGCCGCAGGGCGGCAGAGACGGAGCCTCCCAGCGCTCCCTGGTCAGGCGCTGTTCTGACTTCGGCCGGCGATCGGCGCAAAAGAGCTCTCTACGCGTTCGAATTGTGGTGCGCCGAGGACGCAGGGGTGGCGCCACTTCCGCTGTATCGTAGTGGGATCCTGCTGTCGAGGTTCCTCGCAACGTTCGGCGTGTGGCTGCACGACGCAGGTTTCCCGCTCAACATCCTGGTGCACGCGATCATAGGCGTCCAGGCACGTCTCCCTCATTGGAAGCCCTTTCTCACCGAGGCGTGGGGAGTGGCGAGGGCCTGGAAGCGGTCTCAGCCACCTCGCCTTCGGCCGCCAATGCCACGAGCGCTCTTGCGCGCTATGGTGGCAGTTTGTTTCACTTGGGACTGGCCAGTCATGGCCGCCTTGCTGCTGGCAGGGTTCACGATGTCCTTGAAGCCCGACGAGCTGCTGTCAGCCCGTCGCTGTGACCTTTTGTTGCCTTCGGATTGCCTTGAGTCCTCAGGCAACGCTTGGATGACCATTCCCGATCCAGTGAGCAGCATGTCTTACCCGCCACAGCACGCCTGGTGCTCTGACAAAGCGGTGGTTCGGGTTTTGGAGATGGTCTTTCGGCATTTGGGTCCCGCCGATCCTCTGTCGACCTTTGGTCAAAGCGGCTTCCGTACTCGGTGGAACCATTTACTTTTGGCGTTAGGCGTACCGCTCGCCGAGACGCCAGCGGGGTTCCACTTGACCCCTGCTTGCCCCCGCGGCTCAGGCGCGACAGACTTTCATACGGCCACAGAAGATATTGGTCGTATCTTCTGGCGTAGTCGCTGGCGCCAGGCGTCTAGCGCGGAGCGCTTCTTGCACGACGATGCTTCCGCCGCGATGCTTTCCGCCTTGCCTGATGCCGCTCGGGCCCGTGTCACCTACTTCGATGGCGCGAGCGACTTCCTTGTCGCTTCCTTTCTGAACTGTGGCCCCACTGCGTGGCCCCTTCTGCTCGCGGCCGCCCGCCAAAACCTTGTCACTTCGCAAGGGCTTTGAGCCTGGGTATGGCTGCTACGGCCACCTGGCCGTCCAGATGGCCTCGTTGGACGAGGTCGTCTGAGGGCGCCGCACGGCTTGGGCGCGGCGCCCCGTCATCCTTTACGGGTCGCCGCGCGCGCGCCGCGCGCCCGCCTCCGGGACCTGATCGCTTGCGCTGCGTGCGGGAGAATGCGCTTCTCTATTCTCCTTGCCGCTCGCGCCCGTTCAGGTCCTGCAGCTTCTCGGCCCCCCCCCCCCTCCCCGCCTTACTCAGGCAGGCCTGCGGCGCTGCTACGGCCACCTGGCCGTCCAGATGGCCTCGTTGGACGAGGTCGTCTGAGGGCGCCGCGCGGCTTGGGCGCGGCGCCCCGTCATCCTTTACGGGTCGCCGCGCGCGCGCCGCGCGCCCGCCTCCGGGACCTGATCGCTTGCGCTGCGTGCGGGAGGATGATTATGATGATCATGCTGATGATTATGCTGATGATCATGTTGATGATGATGCTCATGATGATGATCATGATAGTTATGATGATGATTATGATGATGATGATGATGATGATGATGATAGTGGTGGTGATGATGAGGATGATGATGTTGTTGATGATGATGAGGAGGAAGATGATGATGAGGAGGAGGAGGAGGTGGAGCAGGAGGGGGAAGAGGAGGAGCATGAGCAGTACCAGGACGAGGAGGATGAGGAGGAAAGGGGAGGGAGGAGGGGAAGGGGGAGGTGGATGGGGAGGGTGATGATCATGATATTTATGATGATGATTATGATGATGATGCTGATGGTGATGATGATAATGATGCTGATGATGATGATGGTGCTGCTGCTGCTGATGATGGTTGTGGTGGTGATAATGATGATGAGGATGATGATGTTGATGAGGCTGATGATGATGATGATGATGATGAAGAATCTGATGTTGATGATGATGCTGTTGTTGGTGGTGGTGATGTTGATGATGATGCTGTTGATGATGACGATGACGATGATGCTGATGAGGATGATGATGATGCTGCTTATGACAACGAGGATGATGTTCATGATGCTGATGATGATTATGCTTAAGAGGATGCTGATGATAATTATGATGATATTGTTGATGATGATGCTGTTGCTGCTGATGACAATGATGATGATGATGATGCTGATGCTGATTATGTTGATTATGATGATGCTCCTGATGATTATGAAGCTGATGATGATGAACATGATTATGATGATGATGCTGATGATGATGATGATGATGATAGTGATGATGGTGACGACGATGATGACGCTGCTGATGATGATGGTAGCGGTGGTGATGATGCTGCGGATGATGATGCTGCTGATGATGGATGGTGGTTATGATGCTGATGATAGTGATGACGATGACAATGACGATGATGACGATGATGATGATGATGATGCAGATGCTGATGAGGATAATGAGAATGGGGATGATGAGGACGAGGGTGAGGATGATGAGGATGATGATGATGATGATCATGATGATGATGATGATGGTGATGCTGCTGCTGATGATGATGATGATGATGATGATGATGGGGATGATGATGATGATGATTATGCTGATGATGATGCTGATAATGCTGATGATACTGCTGCTGATGATTATGCTGATGATGCTGATGATAATGACGATGCTGATGCTGCTGTTGGTCATGATGCTGATGCTGCTGCTGCTGCTGATGATGATGATGATGATGATAGTGATGATGGTGACGACGATGATGACGCTGCTGATGATGATGGTACCGGTGGTGATGATGCTGCTGATGATGCTGCTGATGATGATGCTGCTGATGATGGATGGTGGTGATGATGCTGATGATAGTGATGACGGTGACAATGACGATGATGATGATGCAGATGCTGATGAGGATAATGAGAATGGGGATGATGAGGACGAGGGTGAAGATAAGGTTGATGATGATGATGATGATGATGATGATGGTGATGCTGCTGCTGCTGCTGATGATGATGAGGAGGAGGATGATGATGATGATGCTGATGATGATGCTGATGATGATGCTGATGATGCTGATGATACTGCTGCTGATGATTATGCTGATGATGCTGATGATAATGACGATGCTGATGCTGCTGCTGGTCATGATGCTGATGCTGCTGCTGATGATGATGACGATGATGATGATGATGCTGATGCGGATGCTGCTGTTGATGATGCCGATGGTGGTGGTGGTGGTGATGATGCTAGTGTTGATGCCGATGCTGCTGATGATGATGATGCTGCTGCTGCTGATCATTATGATGACGAAGATGATGCTGATGGTGCTGCTGTTGCTGCTGCTGATGATGATGCTGATCAGGTTGATGATGATGAGGTTGATGATGCTGATGCTGATGATGATGATGATGATGATGATGATGATGATGATGATGATGCTACTTATGCTGCTGTTGATGATGATGATCAGAAGAAGAATTCGAATACTACGACGAATACTAATAGCAATAATACTAATACGAATCATGATACGGATATTAACACTAAGAGTAAGAGTATGCACATTCGTATAGTAATAATGGTAGACGAAGAACACAGAAGAGGAGGTAGAGGAGGAGGAGGAGGTGGAGGGAGAGGAGGAGGAGGAGGAGGAGAGGGGGGGGGAAGAAGGGAGGAGGAGGATGAGGAGGAGGAAGAGGAGGAGGTGGAGGAGGAGGAGGAGGAGGAGAGAGGAGAGACAGGAGATGACGACAAGGATTTGAGAAGGAGGAGCAGGAGTCGGAGTCGGAGGAGTCGGAGGAGTCGGAGTCGGGAGGAGTCGGAGGAGGCGGAGGAGGAGGAGGAGGACGAGGAGGGACGAGGAGGAGGAGGAGAGGAGGAGGCGGAGGAGGAGGAGGAGGAGAAGAGGGAAAGAGGAGGAGGAGGAGGAGGAGGAGAGAGGAGGAGGAGGGGGGGGGGGGGGGGAGGGGGGGGGGGGGTGGGGGAGGGGGCGGTGGCGGACCAGGAGAGTCATCAACGATGTTGGAATTAACCCTCCCTCCAAGCTTCCTCTTCACAGGCCCCTAGACGGTTCATTTCCATTGAGGGAGTTGCCCCGTTGGAAGACAGCCTTTTGAAGACCCTGAAGCATGCCAAAACATCGTTCTCGGGATTTCCACGCTACTGATCAACCTGACTGCTGCGACTTGACGGTCCACAATCGTGACATTACGCCATTTTTGGGACTTCAACACCCCGAACCAGCATAACTGTTGCACCCGCATAATCATGAGTCCTTCCAAAACACCATTTCTGGTGCGGTGATCATGGGAATCCGTGAAACTTCTGCAGATTTTGACAACGAGTGTGCGCGGCGCGATGGCGAGAGCGACATTTTGAAAAAGGAACCGCCCCTCAATTCGTGAAGCTCTTGCAAATTAGAAAAACGAATGTGCGCGGCGCTTATGCGAGAGCCACATTTTGAAAAGGACCTGTCCGCAATCCGTGAAGCTCATTCAATTCTGTAGCAAGAATGTGAGCGACGCTAAGGCTAGAGCCACATTTTGAAAGCCACCCGCCAGCAATTCGTGAAACTCTTGCAATTTGAAACGCATGTGCGCGGCGCTAAGGCGATAGCCACATCAAAAAAGCCACCCGTCCTCCGTCTGTGAAACTGTTGCCGCTTTTTAAGCCTCAGGCGAAACGCCCGGCCCGCCCTAAAAACTGTCCTCGGGGTGCGACAGGGAGAAGTTATTTCTAAGGAAAAGAAATGGAGGAGGCGGAGGAGGAGGAGGAGGAAAATGAGGAGGAGGAGGAGGAGGGAGGAGGAGGAGGAGGTGGAGGAGGAGGAGGAGGAGGACGGAGGACGGAGGACGGAGGACGGAGGACGGAGGAGGAGGAGGAGGAGGAGGAGGAGGAGGAGGAGGAGGAGGAAGTGGAGGGGGAGGTGGAGGAGAGGAGCAGGTTCCCCCCCAGGAACAATGCCATCCTGTACCTTAGCCTGGCGTTCTGCCAGATGATCAAGGCCTTCACCCCGGTCTCCGTGTACGTTAGCGGCTGCCTGTGCGGCACGCAGCAGGAGCCTCCACTGTTCAGAAAGGAGGGGATGATGAGGAGGAAGAGGAGGAGGAGGACGAGGAGGAGGAGGAGGAGGAGGAGGAGGTCGAGGAGGAGCAGGAGGAGGAATAGGCGGAGTGGGAACGTGAGCAGCGAGGACACGGACTAATTCGGTTCCCACGGCGGTGCTCCTCACGAGGGGTCCGAGTCCGACTCAGGGCCCGAGTCCGAGTTCGGACCCGCCGATGAAACCACGCTCTAACCCGTGCATGAGTCCGAGCACGTGTCCAAATTCGACACCGAGTCTGAATCCGAGGGCGAGTCCGGATCCAGAGATCTCAATTCGAGTGCGATCATTTGCCAGATCCGGGTCCAGGCTTGGGCCCGATCCAGGTCTCGATCCAGGATCCGGGTTCTTGAGTCCGAAGTCTGACGTGTGTTTAATTTTTCATCGTCTCGCTACTGCCCTTTTGCTCCTGCTGATGCTGCTGCTCCTTTGCCTCATTCTGCTTTCGTTCTCCTCTCGCCGCCGCCTATGCCAGTGTCATCCTCATCCTCATCATCCTCATGATCCCCATCGTCCTCATCATCATCATCATCATCATCATCATCATCATCATCCTCATAATGACCATCATCACCATCATCATCATTATCATGAGCATCACCATCATCACCACCACCATCTTTAGCATGATCATTATCACCACCACCATCATCATCATCAGCATCAGCATCAGCATCATCATCATCATCATCATCATCACCACCACCATCATCATCATCATCATCATCATCATCATCATCACCATTATCATCATAATCATCACCATCAGCATCATCATCATCATCGTCATCATCCTTCCCCTCCACCATTCCCTCACCCTCCTCTCTCTCCTTGCCTCCTCCTCGTCCTCCTCCTCGTGCTCCTACTCCTCTTCCTCCTGCTTCTCCGCCTCCTCCTCCTCCTCATCATTACCATCATCATCATTACCTTCATCATCATCACCATCATCATTATCACCATCATCATCACCATCCTCATCATCACCACCATCATCCTCATCCTTCTCATGGCCATCATCCTCACCATCACCATCATCACCATCCTCATACCCATCATCATCATCAGCATCATCATCATCATCATCATCATGCTCATCATCATCATCATCATCATCTTCATCTTCATCTTCATCTTCATCTTCATCACCACCGCCATCATCATCGTACCCATCATCAGCATTATGCTCATCATCATCGTCATTCTCATCATCAGCACCATCATCATCAGCAACGTCCTTTGTAATGTTTCGCACTATTTTTTATGAACACCCTCATCATCAGCAGCATCATCATCATCATTTGCAACATCATCACTATCATAATCATCACCATCACCATGGTCATCATCAACTTATCATCACCAACCCAGGATAAACATCAACAACAGCAACACCAGCAGCACCTCAACATCATTTTGACAATCATCATCATCACCAACGCCCATCATCATCATCATCACCACCACCAGCATGCCCACTATCATCAGCAGCAGCACCAGCAGCAACAACAGCAGCATCAACACCACCAGCACCATCATCATCATCATCATCATCAGCATCATCATCATCAGCATCATCATCATCATCATCCTGATCCTCCTTCTCATCACCATCATCATTGCCACCACCATCGTCATCATCACCACCACCATCATGATCATCTGCATTCCAATCCTCATAGTTGTCGTTATCATCATTTCCATCACCGTCATCATCATTATCATCATCATTACAACCATCACCACCACCATCATCATCATCAGCATCAGCATCAGCATCAGCATCAGCATCAGCATCAGCATCCGCATCAGCATCAGTACCATCATCGTCATCGTCATTGTCATCGTCATTGTCATCGTCATCGTCATCGTCATCGTCGTCGTCATCGTCATCATCATCATCATCATCATCGTCACCGTCACCACCATTATCACCATTATCATCATCACCATCAACATCAGCACAGGCATCATCATCATCATCATCATCATCAGCATCAGCATCAGCATCAGCATCAGCATCATCATCATAATCATCATCATCATCATCATCATCATCAACATCATCATCATCATCATCATTAGCATCAGTACAATCATCATTATCATCACCATCATTATCCACTTTTGGTACTTTAACTCTTCCTCCAGTGGTCCGTGCCCATCGCGAAGTGCTTGGGCGTGATCACCGTTGGCCTAGCGGTCACCAGTTGGGGCGAGCTGGATTTCAACTTGCTGGGCTTTGCGCTGCAGGTCGCCGCCTTGATCCCAGGAGGAGGCTACGGGTGATGACGACGACGACGACAACGACGATAATGATTGCGATGGTGGTGATGAGGAGGAGGAGAGGAGGGTGCATGAACTTTAAACGGAGAAGGTTAAAGGCGAGGTATATATCGAGCATGCACCGCTGCCGTGCCTGGCTCAAGCCGGGCCCGGCCTAATATATGACTGTGCCTCACCGAGGCGCACGACTTGTATCTGAGATCGGAAAATACCTTTTCCATTGAAGATGCCCCTTCTATCCTTTACTCCAGATCCCATGCTTCGTCTCGCTCTCTTGCTCATGCGATATGAGCCAAAGCCTGGGATATGGCAACGCTTGAAGCGTAACACATACCTAAGCTTACCAGTGCGTTTTCGACTTGGTAGCGGAGCTGGCTACACTCTCGTGTGGCTGGCTCTCGCTCTGATTCCTGTAATCCACGGCACAACTTGGTGGACTACTACTACGGTGGAATACCATGTTGCGCCGGCTCTGCGAGGAGCGGAGCCAGTCCGCGATCGAGCTAGCGGGGCAACCCGCGAGCTCGAGACGCTCTCTCCTACTTCACTGCGCTACTTCACTCTCGACTTCCACCAGATGCCAATCGGCAACTCGATCGAGAACGTGGTCACCCTGCGGGGCTACCCGCAGCGGGGCCACCTGCATCCCGTGCCAGTCAGGCGCCTCACGGCTACTACGCCAGAGCCTGACAAACCACAGCCTAAACCAATCACCGAAGCCGAAATGCACATGCACTGGATTAAGATAACTATCTTCGGCATTCTATGGGTAATAATGGGATGTGCTGTGGGATACATGCGGCAGGGGATGGACGACACGCGTACTACCGGCCCTTCGTGGGACCCTGCCGGTACTACGCCTTTTCGCGAATACGTTCGCGAAGTACATGCATGGATAAACGTAACGAGCGGCAATATGACGCCACCTCAACAAGCTGCAGCACTACAACGAGGCCTTCAAGGTCTTGCTCGTCGTATCGCCATGCAGGTCCCCTCCCAGATCATCAACTATGGTGTAACTGTCAACGGACAGCCAACGGATGCAGTTACTTATATACTGTACCTATTGAGCACCAAATTTGAAAATCTGGAAGATGAGCGCCAGCTCAACTCTGGCACTGCCCTTATCGACTTTCGCGTCGAAAGGGGCGAGCGAATCGACTCAGTGTTAGCTCGATTCGAGATGGCCCGTGACGAGGCTAACTCTGTTGGCTTTGTCATCCCCAACTTTCAGATCCTAACGCTGATCCTTTTCAGAGCGTTAGGCGTTGGCGCGTCACGAGCCCAACACCTGCTGGAGCCCTTTAATCATCAGATGCCCAGAACACAAGCAGACTATGACAGGCTGCTGACCAGGATGAGGAACTACGGACATGTTGCCGAGCGCTCTCCTGGCAACATTGCGGGTATCTTCACAGGGCACCACTCACATGCAGGTGTCTACGCCACGACTGCGGGGTCACCCGCTGGTCCTGGCGAGCCAAGTCCCTGGGCTGACCCAGCCGATATGCCCAACGAGGCCACTGCCTTCTTAGGGCAGACCGGCCAGGCATCGGCAGAGGCAGCTGAGGCGAACGCCTGGTCGAACTACTCGCCAGGCGCCGCCTACACTGCAAGCCCGCCCTCGGGCACAACCCTCTGGGGCCAAGCGGAGTCATCCGCTCAAGGGTCTCAGCCACCCTCACCGTTTGAATCTGGCACTGACACAGATACCTCATCTGACGATGAGCACAATGGCATAGTCTCTGCTGGTAATGACTATCCAGCGGATGACACTCACCTTTCTGAACAACAAAGAGCGGAAGCCGCTTTTATGGCTTATCGCAAATCAAAACGCCGTTGGAGGCGCTTTATGAAGAAACCAGTCAGAAAAGTGAGACGTGCAGTACGCCGACATTTCAAACGATATGGAAAGGGTCGTGGCAAAGGGGGTCGCAGACGCCGTATGCATGGTAGGGGTATTACTGCTTTCCTCACGTCCTTAACTGATATAGTTTTTGAAGAAGTTCTTATCGGAGGCAAAGGTCGGGGTCGCAGGCGGACCTCTGGTAAGGGAAAAGGGCGGAGGGGCAACCCTAGGGACGCTTCTGGCAATGCTATGAAGTGTCATACATGCGGTAGTACAGAGCATTTGCGCGATCCATGCCCGAAAGGGAAAGGCAAGGGATCCGTACATTTGGCTCAAAACTCTTTTATGGTTGACATAGACTACATTGACTACGAGTTTTACGTCAATCCAGAAGCGGCTCCCGCCGCGGGCTCCTCCACGTATTACGTGATGGCCCGCTACGCTGAAGTGACCGTAGCCCTGGAAGAGTACGCGGTGACCCTCTTCGACGAGTTCCACGGCTGGGACGAAGTCGACGAGGTCGCGTTCAATGCCTGGTTCGGTCTTCCAGCGGGGCCACCCGCCGACGACGAGATCTCCGACGCTGAGACCATCCCGGCGACCGAGGAGGAGCTCGCCGCCGCGCTGGCACCGCAGGTGATTGGCATGCCGTTGCTGCCAGATCTTCCGCGAGCTGGCTCGGAAGCGGGAGACGCTGATGACGAAATGCGGGGCCATCCCGCGTATTCTGACTCTGAAGAGGCCGAAGAGGACTATAAGGACATGCTCCAAGAGCAGGTCGCAGAAGCAATCCGGCTCCTGAGTGCGCCAGCACATCAGCAGATAACCATGAACGACCTGCTGTCGCGCCCAGGGGCCGCAAGGCTGCGTCCATACCTGGATTCGGACATGTCGGCACCTCAGATGCTGACAGCACTCCAGGCTCTAGCGGGGTCACCCGCCGAAGTGACGCCAGCCGCAGCCGCGGGGCCACCCGCTTGGTCAATGGATGTATTCATGCAGGGCTGCGACCAGATGGACCTCAACGACCTCACGATGGAGCAGCTAAACGACATCGGGTACTTCCGAAGCCCGTATCAGCACGTATTCATGGTCCAGGACAGCTCAGAGGACTCGGAGGACATGCGCCATGCCAAAAGGGACAGACGGCCATCGCCTCCCCGAGACTCAGAGCATGAAGATCAAAGGCCCATGGAACGTGGTAGTGCGTCAGCGGGGCCAGCCCGCAGGAGGAGCCGTTCAGCTCCGCGACGCCCTACACATGATGCATCGGGCTACCCGTGCAGTACGGAGCACTCCGTAGGTGTATCCGCTCAGTACGTGCCGGAGTGGTACATCAATTGGTACCCCGGCTACTCGATGGACGTGATCCGCCACTGGTATTCTAAGGAGTACTGCACCAAAAGGGACGAATCTGGCATGATAATACGCACCAAGGGTGGCAAGACTAAAACGCCAGAGGCTTGGGGCAAAAGGGCTAAGAAACAGGAGATCATCAACGATCGCAAGACATACAGGAAACAAGTATGTCAATGCGAACCCTTCAAAGGTCACATGCGCAGCTGTCCAATGGACCGCCCCTCCAGGAGCCCTCATCACGGTGAGACCCCGTGGAATTGGTCTCATGGAGATGACGCTGGCAACTTCCATGATCCTAACAAGGAGGTCCCTGGAGGAGGAAAGCGCATCACTGAAGCCGATCGCGTCCCTATGACCGAGGAGGTTGCCAACACCGTCAGGGAAAATTGGAAACAGCTTCCTAATGACCATCGCCTCAAGGAATGGAACCGCCGATTCCATAAAGAGGCGGGGTCACCCGCAGAATCCAGCGGAGAAGCGGGGTCACCCGCAGACGCGGCGCCAATCGCTGGGTCCGCGGACGAAGATTGGATAGCTGTTGCATCTGCTGCCGGATCCGCCGCCGGTACTGACCAAACCGAACTGAATGAAGAATGGGCGGCGGAAGACGGCTCAGAGAATCCATTCCCTGATGGGTGCGCCTGCTGGTACTACAGCTCCTCGGCGCAGAAGTGGTTTTGCACAAGGGTTATTCACCGCCACGAAAATGGCAAGTACAAGCTGGCCATAAAAGGCACTGCCGACATCGACCAGATGAGGCAGATCATCCATGATCATGGCCAGCCAGAAGGCCCTCCTAAGGACCCTCCTGGTCCACAACCAGGTAAGGGCAGCAGACCACCTCCAAGACCTGAAGCCGACTCCTCGTCTTCACCGACTCCTGCGAAGAGGCACCCGTCCAAGAGCCCCGAAGACACACAGGGGCGTGCGAAGGCCAGAGGGATCGCCAAGAAGGACGACCCTAAGCAGGGAGAGCCTACCGGCCCGTCCGTGACGGAGAGGAGGAAGGCTTTTGCTGGACCATCGACCCCGATGCCACCGGCTGCCCAAGGCGATGTCAAGGACGAAGTTCGCGACCAGCCTAAGGCAGCCTTCCGAGGTGACTGGACTCCAACTCTGCATCAGCCGCGCCTTGCACCGCGACCAGGTTCGGCACGAATGAAAGCGCAGCCGAAGCCCGAAGCTGGGATGAGGTCGGTGCGGGCAGAAGCAGCCGCCAAAGCTAAGGAGGACAAGGGCTCTGCGGGGCCACCCGCTAAAGCGGCGCCAGCTGCAGCAGCGGGGACACCCGCAGAAGGCACTCTCTCAAGAGAAGAACGCTTCAGAGCCCTCAAAGAATTTGGCGACCGACAGAAACTAGCCGACGATGCAGTGGCTGACCAAGGTCACCCGCACCCTGGCGCGGAGTCATCCGCTGGAGCTGCCTCGTCAGCCGCAGGTTCTGCAGGGCCACCCGTTAAAGCGGCGCCAGCTGCATTAGCGGGGCCACCCGTTAAAGCGCCGCCAGCTGCATTAGCGGGGCCACCCGCACGCTGGCAGCCAGTGATGTCTGTTCTCAGGAACATCCCTCTGGGAGCCATTGAATATTGGCAAGGCATTGAAGGCAAAGGCCCGAAGCGCACCATAAACCCACGAGTCACTCGAGACGATACAGATCGATACGAGGTCATTGATTGCCCTGATCGTCGTAACTTCGAGTGCCGCAACGATTGGGAACGTGAACAACAAGCCGTGGGAAATATGTTGCGAGACAGGCCGC